AATAAGGCAAGATACCATTTTATGCTCACAGGGTTAGGAAAAATTCACAAGGTGAATTATACTAACATTTGCAAGAATGTAGGCAGAAAGCTGTGGTCATTTCTGCAGGGCATGTACAATGGTATAGCCTTTCTCTGGAGCAATCTGAAATTTGTCTTGTGTTTGTGCCAAGTCCTCACACCCTTGATCCTTGATAAATAAGTCAGGGAAGTTCTCTAGCTGGTATCCAGAGAGGCGTGTACAAGGTCCTTTCACCACAGTGTCCTTTGTGGAAACAAGAGTTGGGAGCAACCTTGGCATTTCCCAACAGGAGAGTGGACTAAGTGACGTGTGATGGAGGAAAACTACAGAAATCTGCAGTAGTGAGAACCAACACAGGAAAATTTTAAACACAATAATATTGAAGACACAGAGTAAGGAACAAAAATGAGATCTGTACCATTTATACAAACTAAGAACACATGATACCATTTATATAAGCTAAAAACATGAGAGCCACGAACAGCGTCAGGAGGCAGGCACCAACGTGAAGAGTGGGTACGACCAGGGCTTCAATCACTGATTTGCTGGAAAGTTCCTCAAGGGACCCATGCATCGACCTCTCTAATCGCTACCAGCAGTGTGTTCAGAAAGCAATAAAAGAGAAAGAGGTTCCTGGCAAAGAAAAGCCTGAAAACTCTTTTTGATATTAATAGTCATCTTTTTAAATTTTTTTTTTTTAGTTGCCAATGGATTTTTCACTTTATTTGTTGACTCATTTGTGGTGCTGAGGATCAAACCCAGGACCTCACACATGCTAGGCAAGTGCTCTACCTCTGAGCCACAGCCCCAGTCCCTTATCTATCATCTTGAAAATAGATCCCTATATCAGAAAATTGAGGACTCTGGATTTTGTCAACTAAGACTATGAAGATAGCTGTGGAATTCAATGAATTTAGGAGGCAGATGTTTTATTTCTTCTCTATTGATGTTTTCCTCTCACTTGTAAAAGATGATGAACCATCACTCTGCTTTGAGATGATTTCTCACTTGTTCTGGCATCTTCCAGAACCTCAGTGGGCTAAAACTGAATAGTTTCTTGAGATTATGGTTGCAATACATGGTCTGGATGCAGCTTTAAATACATCTTGTATATAAATTATTGATAAACTCGTCAAGATGATCAGGGTTGCCTGACTTCTTGGTTTTGTTGCAAAGGACATTAAGTACATTGTACTGGGGTCATTGTTCACGAAAGCAATTGGTTAGGACCTCTTTCTTCTCTCAGGGAGCTAATGCTTTAAAAAGGAATCCAGGCACAACAGTTTTATCCAGTTTATTTTTATATAGTAACTAACAGTTAAAGATTGCTGGTGGCCTGGGTTAGCAAAGAGGAAGATATTTTTTATCAGTTCCCTGCCTTAATAAGAGGTGTTCAATTAAGACATGAAAGCTTCAAGATGTTAAAATGAACACCATTTCAGAGCTCACAGCATAGTTCTGGAATTACATTACTTGGAGTTGCTATGGCAAAAGAACCCAAACTACAAAAATTTGTTATTGCCAGTTATCCACCCAAGTTAATGAATTAAGTCATGCTGCATCAAAAAACACCAAAATGCTGAATCTGGTTAAATAGAGGGGAAAAGTGCTTGCTTCATTTGCCTTGTTTGCCCACCCTGCCCTGTAACGTCTATAATCATAATGATGGAATAAATTTTAACATTTAGTTTTTATAAAAAAAAAACATGAATACACAAAAAAAAATGGCATTAAATACTTCAAAGGACCCATTCATCTGTAACTGGGATGGGAATGGGGATCAAAGATACAGAAGAAAAATACTAAACCAAAACAAGAAGGCGGCCTTGCATCCACTGATGCTTGTCATACCACGTGAGACAAGAAAGATAATGAACTCAGCTCTCTGCTCCTGAGGACTAAAGGAAAAGGAGATGTGTGCAAAGGACATGAACAGGCAACTTGTACAGAAGGCACCAATGGCCTATCAAGAAGAAATACACGAGTCTCGTAAACAATGCAGGGAATACACATCACAGCAACAAGAAAAATATTTTTCATGTATTTTCAGGAATTTGAAAGATTATAATAGAAAGATTCAGATACTTTGCTGGCTGATGGAAATCTACATTGATTCAGTATTGAAGGCAGTAATTAGGCACTGTCAAAATGTAAACTGCTTAAGGCGCTTATCTTGCAGAAATACTTAGGTGTGCAAAGGCACATTCGCAAGGACATCCCCAGCTGCCCTCTCTGTAGGAGGGAAGCAAGTGGGGGCTGTGCCCAAGTTTGACAAGAGAAGATGGGTCAAGTACATTATGCTGCTTGTAGTATGAAACACCATGAAGATGGTGACAGCTGGGGTGGCTTGTGTGTACTGACAGGGAAAGAAGAACAACTGCTTCCCCACACCTTCAGCCAGGACGTTCTGCTGCCTCCATGTCAGTCAGTAGTCAAAATCACCCACATTTACCTAGTGCGTCACCTTTATGATTTCATTTAGTCCCCGAAACGCACATATGACCTGGGCTCATCAGCCAGTTTTGTAGGGTGAAGAAGTGGTCACAGCCCTGCTGGTTCCCTGGACCCTGCTGAACTCTCCCCGTGGAAAGAAGTAGGCCTCACATACACACTGACCCCACTGGCTGTGCTTTTTGACAAAGCCCTTGAAGCTGACCAAGAACTGGTTGCCATAGAGATGGCCATAGAGATGGCCTGGAGGACAGTTCCAGGGCTGGCAGGTGGGAGTGGGGAAGGAAGCCGGACACCAACATGCTAAACACCCATCAACCGTTGGTCAGGGCCAACTCGGAAAGGCCAGCTCAGGACCTGGGCCCTCAGACTCCAGAGACAGCCACAGGCCTACTCCAGCTTCTGTCCGGCTTTTCCCCTGCAGAGCAGGTGAGGGCAGCGGGCCCAGTGCGGGAGACTGCCAGCGCCTAGAGCAGGCCAGGGCCGGGGGAGGCTCTGAGAAGCCAAGAGCCTGGAGCTGAGGTCTGGGTGACCTCTGGGACAGGGACTGTGGGGAAGCTAAAGGACATGAGGTGAGGATGAGGAATGAGGAAGCAATTTAGGGATCACTGCTAGGGGAGCAGGTTTTGGAAAAGAAAATTAATTCCTTCCATCTTGGCTGTAGAAAGTCCAAGGCCCTGTGGAACATTCAGAAGAACTGTTCTTCATTATTTGTTTTAATTCTTTATTTTTTTCTTGGTTAATTGATTCTCTTTTAAATATTATTATTATTACTTTTTTTGGTACTGGGGATTGAGCCCAGGGGTGCTTAACCACTGAGCCACATCTCCGGCCTTTTTTATATTTTATGTAAAGACAGGATCTCGTTAAGTTGCTTAGAACCTCCTAAAGTTGCAGAGGCTGGCTTTTTTTGTGTGAGGAGGGGAGAGGTACTGAGATTTTGTGTGTGCGGGTGTGTGTGTGTGTGTGTGTGTGTGTGTGTGTGTGTGTGTGAGGGATTGAACCCAGGCCTTGTGTCTATTGCCAGGCAAGCACTCTACCAACTGAGCTATACCCCAGCCTTTTTTTTTTTTTTTTAATACTGGGGATTGAACTCAGGGGCATTTGACCACTGAGCCACATTCCCAGCCCTATTTTGTATTTTATTTAGAGACAGGGGCTCACTGAGATGCTTAGCGCCTCGCTTTTTGCTGAGGCTGGCTTTGAACTTGAGCTACTCCTGCCTCAGCTACTCCTGCTTCTGGGATTACAGGCGTGTGCCACTGCACCCAGCTTAAAAATTTATTTACTTATTTTTAAATTTTCAAAATTTTAACTGACACATAATAATTGCACATATTTATGGGGCACAATATGAAACTGGATAGATGTAGACATTATGTAATGAGCAAATCAGGGTAATCAGCTTTTCTATCTCCTTAAACGTTTATCATCTCTTTGTTGGGAATCCTCAAACTCCTTCTTGGCAGCAGAGGGTGACAAACAAATCTGGATTCTGGCAATAGACTCCACATGTGCTGGTCCTGCCTCTTAACTTACAAAGGCTGTGTGACCTCAGCTCTTGGACCTCTCTGAGCTTCTCTGATCCTGTTTTTGCATATGCATGATGGGGTGATAGCCCTTGGGAAGGTTGACTGTGTTGTTGCCTCCAAGTACTGAGCACAGGAAATCTGCTTATTCGGGCTGTAATTTTAATACGGAGAATGGTGGTGGGTGGGGATCAGTGTGAGTGGTAATGAGGGCCAGCCAGTGTTCACAGGAGGCCCTTGGGGAGGCGCAGAGTGGTCCAACAGGCTGCTCAGAGCTGTCCCTGTCTCTGGTCCTTGCCCAGGGGAACCTGGGGAATGATGATGATGTGCCCAGGCAGGGCCGGCCACAGAGGTCTCAGAGCGCAGGGCAGAGGGCAAAGAAGGACTGCGGAACCCAGGGGCGGAACAAGAAAGGACAAGTCTCCGCTGAGGCTGAGGAGTAAGCAGTTGGGCATGGGGTGGGAGGGACGCAGGGGGCCAGGAGGATCCTGATGCTGACCCCTGACCTCTCCCTCTTCAGTCTCTTCCCGGCTTCTCTCCGGAAACCCTCCTTCCCCTTCCAGTGGGCCTGGGAGAACTTCATCATGGATGGTCAGGCTCTGCTTCAGACAAGCTCCCCTGAGGCCCCTGGCCACCAAGTACTGCCCTCGCCCCTAGCAATCCTCCAGAACAAGTCCAGGCGCAAGTCCATGCCCAACTTCCCAGAATCCCTTGATTTCTGCCAGAAGATGGAGATGGAAAATCTGGAACGGAGACAGCAGCTGGGGGCCTGGGGTGGCATCCTCCTCCCTCCCAGCAAAGGGGAGAACCAAGGGCTGGAGCTATCTAGCAAGTGTGGCCTTTGGCTGCCTGGGAAGAGGTCAGGATCAGAAACAGAGTCCGAGGAGGCTGCAGAGCGGGAGGGCCTAGGTGTGGAGGAGGTGGAGAGGGGTCTGAGCCCTGGGGAACTGCTCCAGATCCCCAGGAGGGGCTTGATCTTGGAGGAGGAGCGGTTCTCAGAGGCAACGGAGGAGGCTGAGCAGTGGGATCACAGCGCCCCCCACAGGAGGAAGGGCAGCTCTCGGAAAAAAGGTCAGAATTCTGGAAAGGAGGCTTTGGAAGAAGGGGAGCTTCGGGGCCAGAGCCAGGGAAGCAGCTCCAGCTTCAACAGCTTCAGAGGGTCACAGAGGGGGATGTCAAAGGCCAAAGAGGTGGAGGGGCCCTGGGACCTAGAGAAGCTGCACGGGCAGTTACAGCAAGAATTGAACTGTGGTGAGTGCACCTGCCAGGCCTGGGTTCCCTGGAAGCCGCCCTGGGGGGAAGGGGCAGGGAGCCGGGCCTGAGCCAAGAGTTCAGACTGGGCTGTGCTGTGCTCTGGGGGATGGTGGGGGACTGCCCAGTGGGCCAGGAAGGCGGGTTTCCCTGACTCGGTTCCACTGCTAATAGGTCCCCAAAAGCAGTCCTGGAAGGCTTTCCGGGCTGCCTCCATCCGGAGTGAGAAAGCCCATGACTTGGGAGAAAAGGAAAAGTTCCTGTTTGCCAGCTTCCCTAATCGCACCTTCCACAAACGACATGAGGCCACCAGGTAAGGGGGGAGGGCCAGGAGGGTGGGAACCAAGGGCAAGGGTTGGGGAAGGGGCCAGTTCTCCAACAGGCCATCACTGCACGCTCATCCATTCCTTCGCCATTCATGGCTCTGCCTTCCTGCCCCACCAGTCATCCTACATCCACCCATCCACCCATTCATCCATTTTTTTCCTTTCTCCATTTTTTTTTCGGTGACACCAGGGATTGAATCCAGGGCCTTGTGCCTGCTAGGCAAACACTCTGCCACTAAGCACACCTCAGTCCCCATCCATCTTTATTTTTGGTACCTAGGATTGTTGAACTCAGGGGCACTCATCCACTGAGTATTTTATTTACAGACAAGGTGTCACAGAGTGGCATAGCTCCTCACCGTTCCTGAGGCTGGCTTTGAACTCTTGATCCTCCTGCCTCAGCCTCTGAGTCGCTGACTATCTCCTGATAGCACCTATTCCCAGCTTTCATTCACCAGCCTGTGTCTTCCACTTTGACAACTGTCTATTGATACAACCCATTTCCACTCATTTTCCATCTTTCCTTGTATCCATTCATTAACCTATTAGCTAACTGATGAATGTAACATAGGTTGAGCGTCTGCTCATGAATCCTTGGGATATAAAGATAAAAAGACTTGGTTCAGTCCTGAGAAGCTCAAGGTCTGGGAAAGGAGAGAGATGGGCAAGTACAACAGTTCAGGCAGATGGTTCTACCCTTGGGCTTGAACAAGAGGCCATAGGAACACAGGGGAGAAACTGGAGGCTATGAGAGGGCTGTTGGCAGTGACTAGGTAAGAGATGATTACCTGAACCAGGCGGCTAGGTGGATGGAGAAAAGGGGATGCGCTTAAGAGATATTTAAAGACTACCTCAATGGGCTTGGTGACTGGTTAGAAGTGGCATGAGAAGTCAGGGAAAATTCATTCAGCATTTTTTTTTCCTAATGACTTTTATTTATTTATTTTTCTATGTGGTGCTTGAGAATCAAACCCAGTGCCTCCCACATGCTAGGCAAACGCTCTACCACTGAGCCACAACCCCAGCCCTCATTCAGCATTTTTTATTATAACACTCTCAATCCTTTTTTTTTTTAAGGTACTCAGTTGACAATTTAACATTGTATATATGTTTTTGAAATAGGTATACACTGTGGCATGGCTAAATCAAGCTGATCCCCTATGCATTATCTCACTTTTTTTGTTGTTGTTGTTTTAAGAGAGAGTGGGAGAGACAGAGAGAGAAGAGAGAGAATTTTTTAATATTTATTTTTTAGTTTTTGGCAGACACAACATCTTTGTTGGTATGTGGTGCTGAGGATCGAACCCGGGCCGCACGCATGCCAGGCGAGCGCGCTACCGCTTGAGCCACATCCTCAGCCCCTATTTTTTTAAACACTTAAAATTTACTCTTTTAGTGATTCTCAAGCATACAATCACATTGTAGATCTCTTGGACTTATATCCCCTAACTAAAATTTTATACCCTTTGCCAACACCTCCCCAGTCCTCCCCTGCTCTGAGACGCTGGTAATCACTGTCTTACTCTAGGAGAACAGTTTTTGGTTTGTTTTGTTTTAAATTTCACCTGCATGAGATCATGCAGTATTTGTTTTTCTAAACCTAGCTTCTTTCATTTAAAATAATGTCTTCCAAGTTCCACAATGTTATTCCAAATAAAGTTTCCACCCTTTTTATAAGCTGAATAGAATTCCATTATGTGTATATACCACCTTTTCTTTATCATTCATCCATTGATGGACACTTAGGTTGATTCTATATCTTGGCTTTAGTGCATATTGTTTCAGTAAACTTGGGAATGAAAATGTCTTGTCAAAATACCGATTTTGGAGCCAGGCACGGTGGTGCACGCCTGTAATTCCAGAGGCTTGAGAGGCTGAGGCAGGAGGATCATGAGTTCAAAGCCAGCTTCAGCAATGGAGAGGCACTAAGCAACTCCATGAGTCTCTGTCTCTAAATAAAAAACAAAATAGGGCTGGGAGTATGGCTCAGTAGTAGAGTGCTTGCCTTGTGTGAGGCATTGGATTGGATTTTCAGCACCACCCATAAATAAATAAAAGTTCACTGACAGCTAGGAAAAAATATTTTAAAAATACTGATTTTGTTTCCTTTTTTTTGGAGAGGTGTGCTTAACCATTGAGTCACATTCCCAACCTTTTTTTTTTGTTTTTTATTTTGAGACAGGTTTTCACTAAGTGGCTTAGGGCCCCCCTAAATTACTGAGACTGACTTTGAACTTGCAATCCTCCTGCCTCAGCATACTGATATGCTTGGATTACAGGCAAGCACCACTGGGCCCAGCTAGTTCCTTTTTTTTTTTTTTTTTTCGGTACCAGGGACTCTTAAACACTGAGCCACATTCACAGCCCTTTGTTGTATTTTATTTAGAGACAGGGTCTCATTGATTTGCTTAGGGCCTCACTAAGTTGCTGAGGCTGGCTTTGCCTTAACCTCCTGCACCGCTGATATCACAGGCTTGCTCCACCAGGCCCAGATTCATTGTGATTTTTAATCCACATTTATCTAATAGTGATATTGAACATTTTTTTTTTCTTTCTTTTTGGGTAGGGAGGGTACTGGGAATTGAACCCAGGGGTGCTCCACCACGGAGCAACATCCTCAGTCCTTTTCAATTTTTTATTTTGAGACAAGATTTCACTAAGTTTCTGAGGCTGACCTTGAACTTTCCATACTCCTGCTTCAGCCTCCTGAGTAACACTGCTGCTCCTGGCTGAACAGTTTTTCATATACCTGTTGGCCATTTGTTTGTATTCTTTTGGGAAATGTCTATTCAGGTCCTTTGCTCGTTATTTAATTGGGTTGTTTTCTTGCTATTGACTTCCTTGTATATTTTGGATATTAACCTCTTACCAGATGTAAATTGTGTTGGTTTTTCACTGCTGTGACCAAAATACCTGACACCAACAATGTAAAGGAAGGAAGATTTATTCTGGCTCACGATTTCAGAGGCTTCAGTCCACGGTTGGCCAGCTGTTAGGCAGGAACATCAAGGTGGAAGGGTGTGGTGGAGGAAAGCTGTCAGTTCATGGCAGCCAGGAAGGGAGGGGGTGGGCAGTTGTCCCCTGCCTTCAAGGGGAGGTGAGCAATGATGGAGGGCCTCAGGCTTTGCATGAGTGGCTGGGGAGGTGTGCGCACAGATCAGACCTGCTGGAGAGCAAGGAAAGGCCTAAGGGGGGCCCATGGCCAAATGGCCAGATGCAACCTCCCTCGGGTCTGACATTCATGACAAACCTGTTTCTCAGGCCCTTGGCTCTCTGGGCCCAAAGTCCTTCAGCCCAGGTCCTCAAGGCTGGTATGTGCTATGCTTCCATATTCACCTACCACCCCTAGCTTTCCCTGAGGTTCCTGGTCCCCTTGACTTCTTCCCGCCTCCCTCTTCCCTCTCCCCACACAGAAGCCTGCTGCAGAGTTGGGAGCGGCAGCAGCGGGAACAGCAGCATCAGGCTGAGCTGCGCAGGACTAGGGAACATCGGGTTCAGCAGCAGGTGGCCCGCTGCCTAGCATCCTATGCACCCCCAGGGGGCCGGGGACCCAGTGCCACCCAGCGCAAGGTGGAGGAATTGAGGTAGGAGCCCGGCATGCCAAAAGTCTATTGGGGTAAGGCAGAGAAGTTGTGCTGGATGTCAGGCTGCAGGACCCCAAGGCAGCTGGCCAGACCCCTTGGCAGCATTTTACAGATGGCTTTTTTTTAAGGGGGGGCTGTGGTGCTGGGGACTAACCCAGTGCCTCATGCTGACTCCACCACTGAGCTCCATCCCTATCCTTGAGTTTTACAGATGAAGATAATGAGGCAGTGTGAGGACGGTGGGAGGTCTTGGTCCAAGGTGAGCTAGTGAATAATAATAACCCTTCAGCTGTCCAATGCTCAAGATCAAAAGTTCTGCATGCATTTATCACATTTCCCAATTTTGTTCTTCCAATTTCCAATGACAGATATGCTTATTATTATTATTTTTAAGTATGACCAAATTTAATACATTTTTCTTTTTAGAGAGAGAGAATTTTTAATATTTACTTTTTTTT